TTCAACCAGGCCATCGCTTTGGGGGTGCAGGGGAGTTGTGCGAGTTTTTTCCATGCCAAGCCGTTCACACAGGGCTGCAAACAGCTTGGATTCAAAATTTCTCCCCTGATCACTATGAATGACCTCTGCCACACCGAACCTGCTGAACATCCCCTCCACCAGTGCATCAGACACCGTCTCTGCTTCCTGGTTCGGTATTGCATAGGCCTCAGGCCATTTTGTGAAGTAGTCCATAGCAGTGAGGACGAACCGGTTACCTCTTACAGTGACAGGGAAGGGACCCATGATGTCCACAGCTACTCTTTCCATTGGTGCTCCTACAGCCTGCTGTTGAAGTCTGGCATGAGATTGATCGAGAGGGCCCTTATAAGCTGCACAGGCATCACATCTGCGGCAGAAATCCTCCACGTCCCTTCTATGCTGGCCCCAGTAGAACCCCTGGCGAAGGCGGCGGAGCGTTTTGGACACCCCGAAATGGCCAGACCCCGTACTCCCATGACAAGCGGTTAACACTGCTTCCCTCAGTGCTTTGGGCACTATTACTTGCCATCTGTCCTCCCCAGTGGCAGGCTCCTTCCATGCTCGCTGGAGCACCCCCTCACTCAGCCTCAGTGTGTTAAATTTGGACCACAGTCCTTTTGTGCCCAGCGAGCAGCCCGTAATATTCCCCCAATCGGGTCTCTGCTGTGCCTCCAACCAACGTAGAACAGGCCTCAGATCCTCATCTTTCTCCTGCTCCAACTTCCACTCTGGTGTATCAAACACCCTTAATGCTCCACATGCAGGCTGCGCTGGCTCGTTCCCCAGACACAGTTCCCTCTCCTGCGTCTCTCTCTTCTCACAGTGGCGGCAGCCCTCGGCGGCACAGGGGCGACGAGACAAGGCATCAGCGTTGGCGTGGTTAGACCCGGGTCTATGAACTACTGAGAAGTCGTATGACTGGAGTTCTTCCAGCCATCGGGCCACTTGACCTTCAGGCTCTTTGAAGGACATCAACCATTGAAGAGCAGCATGGTCTGTCCTTATCGTGAATGGCGTGCCACACAGGTAGTATTTGAAGTGTCTCACTGCCATTACCACTGCAAGGAGCTCGCGTCTGGTTACGCAATAGCGTTTCTCACACTTGTTAAAGACCCTGCTAAAGTATGCCACCACCTTCTCCCCATCTGGTCTGTTCTGTGATAACACTGCCCCCATGCCGACGTTGCTTGCGTCCGTGTCTAAAACAAAAGGCAGCGAGGTGTCAGGTGGAACAAGGACTGGAGCTTCAATCAATGCTTGCCGTAGGGTATCGAATGCCTTCTGGCACTCGTCAGTCCAGACGAAAACATGGTCTTTCTGTTGGAGGCGGAAGAGCGGCGCCCCTATGCATGAAAATCCCCTTACAAACCTCCTATAGTAAGAGGCGAGCCCCAGGAAACTCTTCAGTTGTCTCAGGTCTGTAGGGATTGGCCAGTCTCTAATGGTGTGTATTTTGTCCTCCAGGGTGCCTATGCCCTCCCTCCCCAACTTGTGTCCAAGGAACTCAACCTCCCGCCTCATAAAGTGGCATTTATCTGGATGCAGTTTCAGGCCTGCTGCTGCCACTCTTCCCAGCACCCGTCGGAGGGAATCGAGTGCTACCTCAAACGAATCACCATGGACTAAGAGATCATCCAGGTATACAAGACATTCATGGCGAGGCACTCCTGCTAATACTTTGTCCATGAGCCGTTCGAACGTGGCAGGAGCGTTGCAGAGTCCGAACGGAAGGACCTTGAACTGCCAGAGGCCTCCATTTGAGCGGAACGCGGTTTTGGGAGCAGACTCAGGGGATAATGGCACTTGCCAGTAGCCGCTCCTCAAGTCAAGGGTGGAGAACCACGATGAACCAGCTACCAAGTCGAGACACTCATCCACTCTAGGAAGGGGGTATGAATCCTTTTTCGTGACTTTGTTGAGCTGCCTATAGTCTATGCAGAACCGCCATCTGGAACTGTTTTTCCGTGGTACCATGACGACTGCTGAAGCCCATGGGCTCTCTGAGGGCTCAACTATACCCGCCTGCAGCATTTCTTCCAACTCCTTATCCGCCGCTTCCTGTCGGGCCAGGGGGAGACGACGTGGCCTTACTCTTATCGGGCGGGCATCTGCAGTGTCAATAACATGGTGCATCAAGTGGGTTAGGCCCACTTCCTTCTCATTGAGAGCAAAAATGTCGATGAAGTCCTCCATGACTTCCCACAAGCACTCTTTTTGTTGCTCACTTAAGCCCTCACAGTGTCTGGACCAAATGTCTCTCACAGCCGATATCCGAGTCTCTCTCTCATCATCGCACACCCCATTGTTCACACAATAGCTATTCCGTGCTAACGGAAAAATGGGGGAAGGGGATGTGGCGTCACAATCGGGGCTGTAGCGTGTGTGACAATTTGAACTAATGGCAGGCGATTTCACTGAGTGAGGTGGTGCCCCAAGGGCTGGGCATTCTGCGCCAAGGGCATGCCTGGATGTGTCTGCTGAAAACACAGATAGGGAAACCTGTGTCAAGTTTGGAGTAGGATGGGTCAGTTGCACCGAACGTCCATCAGGGAGGGTAAGCGAGTCTCTACATAGGTCCAGCACACAGCCAACGGCCCTCAAGAAATCCAGTCCCAGGATGCATGGGTCCTGCACTTTAGCCACCCACGCCTGGAACGACACAGATAGACCCCCTATGTCAAACAGGAAGAGACCTTTCCCTTTTATTGGCGCAAAATCACCAGTCACGGTTTTCAGACGAGCAGACGTCGATTCCAAAGTTGTCCCCACTGGGACCAGATCAGGACGAACAAGGGTTGCATTCGATCCAGTGTCAACAAGGGCTGTGCAAGCGACTCCCGCCACTACAATGGGTATGTGGCAAAAATTTCCAACATAAGACCAGCCCACTACCATAACAGTCTCTTCAGGCTGCAGTTTAACCCCTTTTTCCACCCGCTGTTCCTCATCCTCAGCTTGGGGCGAGGTATGGGAAATGTTATCACGGGCCCGTGTCCCCCTGTCTACACGGGCCCCTGGGCGTTTCCCTGCATTTGACCGATCCTAGGGCAATGTCTGATCAGATGACCTGGCTGGCCACAGCCCCAGCAAACTGAAGGTCGGTGGCGTGGACGGGGCACTGAGGCGGAGCGGCCCGGGCGTATCGTCGCAGCATTTGCATAATTATCCACCCACATGGGTGTCCTGGGACACATTTCAGTCATTTCCACGGCCCTCACTATTGGAGTAACTTCAACTGCATCCATTTCAGTCCCCAGTATCTCCCTTTCAATAGCCAGTTCCAGCGCTTCACTCAGTGTGGTCGGGTGAGCTAGCTGCGTTTGTACACGGAGCTCTCTTGGGCTGAGCGCCTGGATAAATCTGTCTCTAGTGAGCTCATTCTGGACTGACGGTGGCATTTCAGCATAGGCGCGTTTACATAAGCATTCAATGTCATTGGCCAAAATGCGGAGCGGTTCACCTTGTCTTCTACGTCTGTTATGAAATTCTGTCCTTAAAAGGACAGGCTGGCTACAATGTCCAAACCGCCTATGAAGAGCCCCAACCAATGCATTATAATCATTTCTTTCTGCAGGACTCAACAACAACAGACAGGCAGCCGCATCATCAGTCAGGCACAGCGCTAACTGCAAGGCTTTATGATTTTCAGGCCAGCCTGCAGCAGTAGCTAACAGTTCAAACTGGGCTTTGAATGCATCCCAATCCGTCTTACCAGAGAACCGCGGTGTTTTAATAGCGATCGTGTTTGAGTCTCTGATGTATTCGCTGCTGGCCTGGGCGCTGCCATGTTTGTTTACATCCCGCGGCTTCACGTCATCGCGAGAGTGTGTCTTGCCGCGCCGCACATGCGCTGTCATGTCGGCGCCAATCTGCTGATGTGCAAACTCACTGTGCGGGGTAAAGGGAGGCGCGAAGCCAGCTTCAGCAGCTTGTAACATGATAGCCTCTCTCATCCTAGCCGCCTCGCTCGAAACCCAGCGCGGATCTGCCGGCGGCCCGTGTGTCCACAAGCACTCGCTTTTCCCCCTTACTGTCTCCTGCATCTCTTGCTTCACTTTCGGCCGCGCCCCGTAGTCCATCTCGGCGGCGAATGCTCAGCTCGTGCGTTGAAGTCCGTCACTTCTGACACCAAATGTAGCGTTTCGCTACTAAGAAGTAAACAGACGGATTCTTCCTCCTTCTAAGGCTTTATTCAAGAACTGCAGGATTACTGTTATGGCCGTAACCCACGCCGTACAACATGAAAGGAGAGATATAACGTGCTGTCTCTGCTCTGCTGTTAAACTCTGTCTGACTCCCCGCTACCAGCTCTCACTCGCTCTAGTCACTCGACCCCGCTAAACCCCGCCCCTTAAAGAACCAGGGACTAACAGATAGAACCACTTATGAGTCTAACACTGTCGAACAACATAATACTAACTAGTGTCTTCTATTTATACTGACATTACAATACTGTTGTTTACTTGTAATTTGTTCAACAGGGAAACACCTCAATGAAATACCAACATGATACAATTTGAATTTATTAACAAATACAAAAGAAAGAAAGAAAGAAAGAAAGAAAGAAAGAAAGAAAGAAAGAAAGAAAGAAAGAAAGAAAGACACTTTAGGACAAAGATAAACGCCCTTTCCTGAAGGTAAAATGTAAATTACGATGACCTCGCCTGAACTCAGGCGCACACGTACACGTACAGGAAGACCTTAGAGGGCGTAGTGTTAATATACACGTCACGCCCATAGAGGTCACGCCCCCTGACTGACAAGAAACTAGTTTGAAACCGCAGATTTCTTCAAAATAAAAGTTCAGATGGAAATGCAAGATTCCATTAAGAAATAAATGGGTTTCTCAATTTTATTTTAATTTCTTTTGGCATAAAATATACAACCTATACCGTTCTGGTTGTGTAATTTAACAGTTACGCCGAGCAGTCATTTAAAAAAAAAAAAAAACAGACCTTTATTTTGTAAAGTTGCCTGCGTCACTTTGACGTAAGGCGTGTTACATCATCGTGTTCCCGTACACGCTGTCAGTCACGCACACACAGCAGTTCAACCGGCAGAGAAGAGCTTCAGTCCAGTGTGCAGCAGAAACTACACAAATAGGTATGTTATACGCTTTATTTAATATCTGACTATGTTGCTTGTGTAAATAATATGTTTAAATAACATAGGACGACATTTGGTGTTTTTCTTTAGAGAGTATCTAATCTGTAAACTATCCCTTGAGGAAATGTCGCATCTTCTTTAATTGAAGCTTATAATAAGATCTAAATGTCATGACTGTTTACATTTCACTACACAATTACTTTATTTAGTTAAAATGGTGTAAAGCTACTTTTTAAATGGCCCGTGTGTGTCGTTTGACCTTCATAAATCATGACGTGACTATCACTTTAGCTCAGTGATTCAGAGATGACTGATTTCCTCAATCTCATTTCCTTAAAGTTTATATATGTGATGTATGTATCATAACCTGTGCCTTCACAAATGACATAAAGCCTCAAGACCTTATTTTGTAATAGTATTGGGAGATGTAATAGTCTTCTTTTGTAATAGTAGGAGATGATGTAATGTTTCATAGGATAACATGGTTCATATATGAATCTCTTAATATGTGTGTGTGTCTTTAAGAACCATTCAACACATCAGTTGTCCAGATTGACTAATTCATTAGCACGTTTAATTAATTGGCTGATATGTATCAATTTATATTTTTTTGTTTCATTTATGTACTGTTTTAATTGCACTCGTCTGCAGTAAAGTGTCAGAGAATGGCCTTTGATTAATGACATCTAATCTTGTGTTGTTGTGTTTGCCTTTAGCCAAGATGACCGCCGTCGAGTATGAAGACAATGAGTCCAAGTTCATGAGAAAAGCCAAAGAGAACCCGTTTGTCCCTGCAGGTAAACTCTCCTCCCTCATATTTCACTCTTAATAATAGTCTATTAATAAACGCATTATATCTCTTTACCCATAAGTATTGTTACAATCTCTTTATTTCACATTATCTCTGCCCCTGGTGTGTGTGAGGCCCGTTTTAAGTCAAGGGTTGGGTATCGCTTGAATATTAACTATTCTGATTGTTTCTACTTATCGATTCCTAATTTTGATTCCAATAAGGTAAAAAAAACCGTCACATTTATTCTTAGTCTTATTGCTAAACATTGAGTTGTAGCTGAATATCATGAACAGAAATCAACAGGCTGAAGAACACTTACACAAGAACACACTTACTTGTGTTCAGGCATGCTGGGGTTCTTCGCCATCGTGGCGTACAGGCTGATGAAGATGAAGAGCCGAGGAGAGACGAAGATGTCGGTGCACCTGATCCACATGCGTGTGGCAGCGCAGGGCTTCGTGGTGGGAGCCATGACTCTGGGTAAAACACAGTCCTCAAGCCTCCTCACCCGTAACCCTGCGCTCAACCCTGACCTGTGTGTGTGTGTGTGTGTGTGTGTGTGTGTTGCAGGAGTGGTCTACTCCATGTACAAGGAGTACGTCCTCCAGCCGGCTGAAGCACAGAAAGCCCTGGAGCAGAAGGCGCAGGAGAAGTGAAGAGGAGCGCGCTCGATATCCCTAATACCGCCCCGTATTACGGTGTCGCTTGTATTTATTGCACACATCATTTAGGACTTTTAAAAAAAAGAATAATTACAGTTTCCTATTTAAACATTTGATAAACCTCTGTAAAGAGGTTGGTGTGTCCATTTTGTTGCCTGGCTTGTTTGAGAAACGTTGTAGGGGGGAATAGTGGGTATTTTTGTATCTGCCAACTACTATTTATGTATTATGATATCAGAAACAAACTGATGAGCGGCGTATAATGGCTGTGTTTCACTGTATTTGGGAGGATTTCTGCTGCTTTTATGTTGATGTGGCATGAAGACCTTTGTACCTTATCTTTTGAGATTTGTGTAATTTAAGTAGACTAAAGAAATTCCAGGACAACAACCGTAACAAACCATCATTCTAGTTATATTTGTGAAATGTATAACGCACAGAACACAAAACTGAAAGACTTCACCACTGAGGAATGAGTTGTGTGTGTGTGTGTGTGTGTGTGTGTGTGTGTGTGTGTGTGTGTGTGTGTGTGTGTGTGTGTGTGTGTGTGTGTGTGGAAGAGTCGCGTGTTCTTTTGTAGATTGATTGATTGAAATAACTATGGCACCTTTTGTTTCATATTTCAAATGAAATTCACAATATTATACTTTTAGAGTGACATATATATTTTGAGGCTCTCAGCTGCAGTTCTGTTTATCTTTGCCAATAAAAAAACATTGTAATTCAATAAAGACTCCTGTTTATTTCACTCTCATCTGAGATCTGTGTGGAAGCTTGTTTCCACCACAGAATAAAACATTTTAAAAGATAATTGTGCATTTTTATCTCGCAATTGTGACTTTATACCACACAATTCTGATATAAACATGAAATTATGAAAAAAAAGTCAATTGCAAGATTAGATCTCACAATTCTGACTTTATATCACACAATTCTGGCTTTAAGCGACTTTATATCACGCAATTCTGACTTTATATCTCACAATTCTTGTTTGTTTGTTTATTTTATTTATATCAGGACAATGTGCAGTTACATTAAAAAGATGGCTGCACCAGATTTAGCACAATGCTAATTTCCATCTGTAGTCCTACACAATTAAGATCGCAATTCTGACTTTATATCTCGCAATTCTGACTTTATATCTCGCAATTCTGACTTTATATCTCGCAATTCTGACTTTATATCACGCAATTCTGACTTTATATCTCGCAATTCTGACTTTATATCACGCAATTCTGACTTTATATCTCGCAATTCTGACTTTATATCTCGCAATTCTGACTTTATATCTCGCAATTCTGACTTTATATCTCGCAATTCTGACTTTATATCACGCAATTCTGACTTTATATCTCGCAATTCTGACTTTATATCACGCAATTCTGACTTTATTTCTCGCAATTCTGACTTTATATCACGCAATTCTGACTTTATATCACGCAATTCTGACTTTATATCTCGCAATTCTGACTTTATATCACGCAATTCTGACTTTATATCTCGCAATTCTGACTTTATATCTCACAATTCTTGTTTGTTTATTTTATTTATATCAGGACAATGTGCAGTTACATTAAAAAGATGGCTGCACCAGATTTAGCACAATGCTAATTTCCATCTATAGTCCTACACAATTAAAATCGCAATTATGACTTAATATCTCGCAATTCTGACTATATCACGCAATTCTGACTTTATATCACGCAATTCTGACTTTATATCACTCAATTCTGACTTTATATCTCGCAATTCTGACTTTGTCACACAATTCTGACTTTATATCACGCAATTCTGACTTTATATCACGCAGTTCTGACTTTATATCACGTAATTCTGACTTTATACAGTATCTCGCAATTCTGACTTTATATCTCGCAATTCTGACTTTATATCACTCAATTCTGACTTTATATCACGCAATTCTGACTTTGTCACACAATTCTGACTTTATATCACGCAATTCTGACTTTATATCACTCAATTCTGACTTTATATCTCGCAATTCTGACTTTGTCACACAATTCTGACTTTATATCACGCAATTCTGACTTTATATCACGCAATTCTGACTTTATATCACGCAATTCTGACTTTATATCACGTAATTCTGACTTTATACAGTATCTCGCAATTCTGACTTTATATCTCGCAATTCTGACTTTATATCTCGCAATTCTGACTTTATATCACGCAATTCTGACTTTATATCTCGCAATTCTGACTTTATATCACGCAATTCTGACTTTATATCTCGCAATTCTGACTTTATATCTCGCAATTCTGACTTTATATCACGCAATTCTGACTATATCACGCAATTCTGACTTTATATCACTCAATTCTGACTTTATGCGACTTTATATCACGCAATTCTGACTTTATATCTCACAATTCTGACTTTGTCACACAATTCTGACTTTATATCACGCAATTCTGACTTTATATCACGCAATTCTGACTTTATATCACGCAATTCTGACTTTATATCACGTAATTCTGACTTTATACAGTATCTCGCAATTCTGACTTTATATCTTGCAATTCTGACTTTATATCTCGCAATTCTGACTTTATATCTCGCAATTCTGACTTTATATCTCACAATTCTGACTTTATGCGACTTTACATCACGCAATTCTGACTTTATATCACGCAATTCTGACTATATCACGCAATTCTGACTTTATATCACGCAATTCTGACTTTATATCACTCAATTCTGACTTTATGCGACTTTATATCACGCAATTCTGACTTTATATCACGCAATTCTGACTTTATGTGACTTTATATCACACAATTCTAACTTTAAGCGACTTTATATCACGCAATTCTAACTTTAAGCGACTTTATATCACGCAATTCTAACTTTAAGGGACTTTATATCACGCAATTCTAACTTTAAGCGACTTTATATCACGCAATTCTAACTTTAAGCGACTTTATATCTCGCAATTCTGACTTTGTCACACAATTCTGACTTTATATCACGCAATTCTGACTTTATATCACGCAATTCTGACTTTATATCACGCAATTCTGACTGTATATCACGCAATTCTGACTTTATATCACGCAATTCTGACTTTATATCACGTAATTCTGACTTTATACAGTATCTCGCAATTCTGACTTTATATCTCGCAATTCTGACTTGATATCTCGCAATTCTGACTTTATATCACGCAATTCTGACTATATCACGCAATTCTGACTTTATATCACTCAATTCTGACTTTATGCGACTTTATATCACGCAATTCTGACTTTATATCTCACAATTCTTGTTTGTTTGTTTATTTTATTTATATCAGGACAATGTGCAGTTACATTAAAAAGATGGCTGCACCAGATTTAGCACAATGCTAATTTCCATCTATAGTCCTACACAATTAAGATCGCAATTCTGACTTAATATCACGCAATTCTGACTTTATATCACGCAATTCTGACTTTATATCACGCAATTCTGACTTTATATCACGCAATTCTGACTATATCACGCAATTCTGACTTTATATCACGCAATTCTAACTTTATATCACTCAATTCTGACTTTATATCACGCAATTCTGACTTTATATCACGCAATTCTGACTTTATATCACGCAATTCTGACTGTATATCACGCAATTCTGACTTTATATCACGCAATTCTGACTTTATATCACGTAATTCTGACTTTATACAGTATCTCGCAATTCTGACTTTATATCTCGCAATTCTGACTTGATATCTCGCAATTCTGACTTTATATCACGCAATTCTGACTATATCACGCAATTCTGACTTTATATCACTCAATTCTGACTTTATGCGACTTTATATCACGCAATTCTGACTTTATATCTCACAATTCTTGTTTGTTTGTTTATTTTATTTATATCAGGACAATGTGCAGTTACATTAAAAAGATGGCTGCACCAGATTTAGCACAATGCTAATTTCCATCTATAGTCCTACACAATTAAGATCGCAATTCTGACTTAATATCACGCAATTCTGACTTTATATCACGCAATTCTGACTTTATATCACGCAATTCTGACTTTATATCACGCAATTCTGACTATATCACGCAATTCTGACTTTATATCACGCAATTCTAACTTTATATCACTCAATTCTGACTTTATATCTCGCAATTCTGACTTTGTCACACAATTCTGACTTTATATCACGCAATTCTGACTTTATATCACGCAATTCTGACTTTATATCACGCAATTCTGACTTTATATCACGTAATTCTGACTTTATACAGTATCTCGCAATTCTGACTTTATATCTCGCAATTCTGACTTTATATCTCGCAATTCTGACTTTATATCACGCAATTCTGACTATATCACGCAATTCTGACTTTATATCACTCAATTCTGACTTTATGCGACTTTATATCACGCAATTCTGACTTTATATCTCACAATTCTTGTTTGTTTGTTTATTTTATTTATATCAGGACAATGTGCAGTTACATTAAAAAGATGGCTGCACCAGATTTAGCACAATGCTAATTTCCATCTGTAGTCCTACACAATTAAGATCGCAATTCTGACTTAATATCACGCAATTCTGACTTTATATCACGCAATTCTGACTTTATATCACGCAATTCTGACTATATCACGCAATTCTGACTTTATATCACGCAATTCTGACTTTATATCACTCAATTCTGACTTTATATCTCGCAATTCTGACTTTGTCACACAATTCTGACTTTATATCACGCAATTCTGACTTTATATCACGCAATTCTGACTTTATATCACGCAATTCTGACTTTATATCGCGTAATTCTGACTTTATACAGTATCTCGCAATTCTGACTTTATATCTTGCAATTCTGACTTTATATCTCGCAATTCTGACTTTATATCTCGCAATTCTGACTTTATATCTCACAATTCTGACTTTATGCGACTTTACATCACGCAATTCTGACTTTATATCACGCAATTCTGACTATATCACGCAATTCTGACTTTATATCACGCAATTCTGACTTTATATCACTCAATTCTGACTTTATGCGACTTTATATCACGCAATTCTGACTTTATATCACGCAATTCTGACTTTATGTGACTTTATATCACACAATTCTAACTTTAAGCGACTTTATATCACACAATTCTAACTTTAAGCGACTTTATATCACGCAATTCTAACTTTAAGCGACTTTATATCACGCAATTCTAACTTTAAGCGACTTTATATC